TGGGAAATGGTGCGCATACTTCAAAGGTTTTGACGTTTTAGAGTACAGCTTTTATATTAAGAAACATTTTTTTCTATGATACTTTAGTAAGAGTTATTACCTGTAGTTGTAGTGGCTACGGCAGCCGAAGGAGTAGTACCAGCTTCCGGTGAGACTGTGGCGATACATGGCCGTACGAACGGGACATTTGACATGGTCACATGAATAATTAGCAAACAGTGTAATGAAAGCCTCGACCACATTCCACTTGCGAGAAGTCTGAGATTGACATCGTGCGTGGCCTACATCACAGGCTGTAGCGACATTTGCTTTACTGGTAACTTCAAAACCAGAACCGACATGACATGCGTAATCTAGCGGAGATTCCATCATATAAATTAACTAGGTCAGAAGTGCTGCGATGACGCCATGCCCCTTTCCCTATGCGTTCGTCTGTGAAGCCCCGAGAAATTGATGGATGTTCCAATAGTTTTCCCATGGGATCGGTGTCCTGTACGGTACCCAGGATCAGGTCGCTAAAGTGTATGACTTGAAATTAACACCATGTTAGGGGTTATATAATATCCTTTTACTGGGTTACAAGCTGAAGCTGTGATGCAGAATATTTCATCAGTGGTGAATGAAACGAAAATCCCACAAAAATCCCGAAATTCATGGTCTTTTTTTGAGTTAGCTCTTAAAATTTGACGAGTCCATGACGACAAAGAGGTGTTTGTACGGATTCGCATGTCAGCCATTAGAGTGCATGAAATGACTGCCATTACAGCAAACGCGCTCCATTTTGAATTACGTAAGCCTCCATAAGGGCGTAAACTCGTCCTTTCTTGGGAGTATTGAGCGTCAGTGAACGCCGCGACCGGTTGTGAGCCCTTGTTTCACGCTAACTGGGCCGTTTCTCGACTTAACAGTGACCCATGCCCTTTCCCAGAGGCCAAAGACTGCTACAAATGAAAACCCTGAGAACCATTTCTATAGCAAATTGTGCCTTCAAGAATTACGTCTATGGCAGGATATAACTTTTACGGTTCCTAATAGTTCTTTTGGATCTCAAACAAATTAAAGCTGCGTGAAAAACAGAGGAATTGCTAGCAGCAGTGAGTCTCAGAGTACCAACTGTTCGAATGTTCAAATACGCTCTGTCCAAAACGAGTCATGTGCGCAACCTCAGACATAATACAATTCTACTGTGCAAGAATATTGGATGCCAACCGAAAGGCGAAGGGGTGCAAACAGATGGCTTTTCGAAAACATTGTCCCTCCATGTCCCACGCCTTCTGCTTACCATCACAAGTTAGTAATTATTATCAGCTTCATGGCTGAAAAACATGGACCATCTCCAGATGTTGGCATGGCCGTGGGGCAACTAGATAGTAGTTGCTCTGTGCTGTGAGCACATCAGGAATTGTGCCACACCCCCTTTTGCACAATATCATCATCGACAGTCCATTTCAAGGAGGCACCTATTTACGTATTTTTGCTTCGGAATTTTCGAAAGTCTTCAAGTGATCGACATTACAATGAGTATATTATGGGCTCAGCATTGAGCAATACCTAGCCTTGGGACGCGCTGCGCACCTAACTCCATTCAAAATTATACACGTGTTTGAATGCGTATTAGTCTTCACAAGGACCTACGAGGCCAGCCGATCAGTGTTTTATCCATCCGGGCAGGACACCTTCAGTCTATTCAACCTCAAAACGGACGACCCGATAGATCTGAACGGGTTTAATGCGGAATATATCTTGAAGCAAAGCTGTGTTAGCGTTCCCATCTGCCTCTACCCCTTCAACACCTGAACAAAACCATTCTATACAATATTTACTTTTTACATGTAACACATACATTCATACAAGTGTAGGAGGAAACGTGTTACTTCTAGTCATTTGATAACCAGATGAAATTCGTCGCCGATAAAGTGCTTCGCGTTCGGTTCGAGTATAACCGTGATAGAGAATAAGTGAGATCTTTGACCATACGATGAACAGAAGCAGCAAGACTGCTCCAGCTAACACGAAGAATTCGCAGTTCGTCAGGGCTTCTGAAAACTCGGATATATTTCCCAAAACATCGAAACCCATCGCATGTTACCCATTCATTGAGGTAAACTGCATTTTTGAGGATACGCTAAAAATATTCTGAAGAGGGGAGATTCAAGAGCTCTATGGAATCGGATAAGAGGCCAACCGGCCAAGGGAGGCTGAACCAATTCTTTGCTTGTCGGCGCCATCGCATCGAGTGAAAGCTCGGTAGGTCGACCTCAGCAAGGGACTCCTCAAGGGGCTAGATTCAGATGAGGGCAGAACTCCTTCGATTCAGTAGAAGTGGTCACCAATGAAGAAAAATTATGAAAAGTGTTAACCGATAATCTCCATCAAGGGGTCTACAAATGCTAGATTAATAAGAGAGCACAGACGACCAAGGATATTCTTTGCCTCGAATCATCAGCTTCCTTAGTTGCGGTGCGGTGAGTCTGGAGTAACCCGACGAGAAAAGGTGCCCGTTATTCGGAGAAAAAAAATGTGAATTGGAGAACCTTTCCAAAAAAACTGACTTTCCCAGCTATTCTCTTCCTCACATATTCCCATCATGAAATGGTGCATATACGAAATGGTGAAGTAAAGTATATTCAACCACGAAAGCTCAATGAATCGACAAAGAAAGATCAATAACAATCAGAAAGGGGGTGTGGTGCGTTAGGAACGAAATGGTCGCGTCGCGGTGAGAGG